ATTTTCGTTCAGTTCATCTGCACAGATCTGGCTTGCGCAAGCCAAATCGTTCAGATGGCTTGAGCGTGTAAACGGTCCTTTAGACTTGCTCTTCGCGCAATGTTGTTATAACAAAATCGCTTGTATGCGAGAATTCTAACAAGGTATGAATAAAAATGAGAAAAAATCGTTTCATTCTAATCACTTCGTGGCAAGGACTGAAACATTCATAAAGTTAGTACTGGATCAGAAAATGTATTACATAAATATACATATTATTAAAGCAACGAAAATATTTTTTTTTGTATTTTTAATAACCAATGTGGTGTCGTTGTGCAACATTCGGCAGAATACTTGATATTTTAACTTAATGTAAATTAATACTAGTTATGATCGTTTATTAGAAGATAAACATCAATATCTAAGAAAAGCTGGGAAAACTCAAACACTAATTTACTCGTCGCGCTGCAAATCTAAGTATGATAAATAAATGAAATTTTAGGAAATGCGTTATAAGCGCAACCGACGATAAATGTAAAGTACACAATCGTAAACTTTGTTCGAGCACATATATAATAAATTTTTTAATTTTTAAGCAATAATCTGGTATTTGCTATTTCAAAATTTCCAATGATGTACCAAACGTGTTGTAAGTACGTAAGTATAATAAAATTGATAATTCAATAATATTTAACTAGACGATAACGTATTTATACACAGCAGGTTAAATGTTTTACTACTAATTTTTTTACTACTAATTAGGCAAAAAATACAAAATTGTAGATTGTATTATCAACACTTTTAAGAACTGACAAATTTAGTGGGTTACTTATGATAAATATTGTAGCAAAATATGCAGATAATAGGAAAACTCCCAGACAGCATTTATCTCAAATAAATTTTCTATACACACAGAAAGATAAAAAATGGCACATATGGTAAACTTATAAAAGAAATGACGGATAAGCTAAAGACGTGAAAACAAGATATTCAAACATTCATTCAAGAATTCAGCATTCTCAGATGAGACACCAGGACATTACAATATTCACGAATCTGAACCATGCCCATGCATAACAAGAGATGAAATTGAGAAACCTATCCACAATATGCAAAACAATAAATCGCCTGGACCTGATGAAGTCCGCGTAGAGCTGGTGAAAATACTATGCGACAGTAATACGGATTTCCTCAAATATGTGGAAGAAATCTTCAATTTTATCTATGATACAGGAGAAATACCTCCTGACTGGTTAGTGTCTTCTTTCATTACCTTCCCTAAACAGCCTCTAGCCAATGCCTGTGACATATGCAAACTCATTGGTATCATTAACTACATCGTCAAGGTGTTCACCAAGATCATTCACAGCAGAATAAACAATAAATGTGACTCATACACCAGCGAATCTTAATTTGGCTTTAGTGCCCTGGATACTAGAGGCAACCTTTTCATTACAAGTTCTAGTGCAACTCTGTAGGGACATGAACCGCGATGTGTTCGCATTTTTTTATTGATTTTTTAAAGGCCTTTGAGTAAAACACACAAAATTTCACCCGTTATAAGGAATCACCAAGTTCCAAAATCACCAAGTTGAAGGAGTCTTTATCGTCACGAGAGAAATTAGTTCAAAAGGAACCTCACAGACTTGCACAGACACAAAATATTCTCGGAGACAATTCTGTCCGTTGCTGTCCCGTGCCTGTGAAGGCCCACACCGCTAAGTATGAATACGTGTGTGAGAAGTGAAGTGAGAAGTGCGTTGGTAGCAAATGCACAGAACAATATTTTTGTGTCTGTCCGGATACATGTTGATCACGCCACGTGCTGGTAAATATGAATCGAGCTTAATGCGGTCCAAAACAGCATGAAGAACGATAAGCGCATAAACCTCTTGAATATCGCCCATTAACTCAAATTAGGTAGGGGCGTGTCCGACAAATCATGACACAAAATTTGGGCTTCCACAAACGGTCCATCTGGTTTCCCAGTGCCTCTTGTGGATTTGACCGGAAAACGTTGGATTATACTCCCCATAATGCAGACTTGTCATCTTAAGACTTGCATCTTTTTGGACCCCTGAAAGAAGCGAGTGGAAGCCAACGTCTTGAAGGCGATCAAGAGGTAGAGCAGTTTGTGAAAAACAAACCAAGACGAATGTAGGACCAGTAAACTTTGAACGCTAAGTCTCGAATAAGGCGAGCGACCTAGACATATTACATACTTTCAAATGACCACTAGCTAAATATAAAATAATAAATTGATATAAAATTTGAAAATAATAATTTGACACTTATTAAAGTTAAACCTAATAAACCTCATATTATTTTCATATAAAATTCTTCAAACTAATTGAAACTCACTTCCTGTAATTTATCGCTAGTCTAAAACAAACTTACTTAGATCTTCGAGACTATTCCCATTACCGATCTATATAACTCTGGCGGATGCGACCTGTTTTCTCTCGGTTCAATATTGTTCATATCATACGATAGATGATCAGGTACAGTTCATAATATCATTCACCATTAAGTCACCACACAATTGATATAATCTTTTATTTTATTAATGGTGTCTCCACAATTTGAGTTTGTTTACCTTTGGTTTGGATAAAATGGAAATCTTAACACAGAAGATCGATTTGAAGCATGTATTTATATTGATGACTCAACAAAGCTCTTCTGAAGAATCTTATTGGGACATTATTCTTAGTAATGTTCGAAGATCTAACTTGGATAATTGCGTTACAAGCTGTAAAGAACTCGCTTGCTACCCAAACTTTAACCAATATTTCACAAGTACGTTTCAGTTGACATTTGGAACGATATCTAAGAGAATTTATAAGCAAACATATTAGCCATCGGAAAGTAATTGCCAGAAGAGATAGCAAAATAATCTAAAAATGCAATAGTGCTTAATTCTTCTTAGAATTTATTAATGTACGCATCAACAAGCCATTAATGACCATCTTTATTAATGAACACTTGAATACCGCAAAACTGTGTAATCGTGTAACGACAGAGTTTCCCAAACTTTTTCGATAACGAAACACTTTCCAAATCCAGAAATTTTAACGGAACACTTAAGTACTTTATTTTAATACCTGAAAAAAGTCACCACATATTTTTCATGGGGCGTTAGGGCGTGTGAAATGTCAAGCAAATGTTTCCGCACTAGTTCAGGTGCCGCGAAACACAGTTCGGGAACCTCCGATCTATGAGGAAAGGACACAAAACCTTATGAATATAACGGTAACTTTATAACAGATAATTGGAAATGGCAGAGAATTTGTCATTTCTCAAACTGGACAGTACGGCTGAAACAGACACAACGGAGACAAAGTCCCGATTGTATTTGTCATAAAAACGCTTATTCGATGATGTAGGTAGAATCGTGCTGCTTTATTTACAAATTATATACTTTCGAAATACAATGATCATTTCAAATGTATATCTTAGTAGTTAAACCTCAACTGTTTAGCATCGTATTTTATCTGTCGAGACCACTGAAAGATACTATTATGCAAGATTTACCTAGTTATTATGTCAGCTGGGGATGATTGCTATTTAACGTAATAGTTTAAAATAGCGGCGTTCGGCAATTACGACTGTTACCGTAGTAATAGGAACGCACATAAACCTATTACATTTCTAACCGTTTTACGTAACCGAAAATGACGGGCGAGCAAATGACTATTTATTTGAAGGTTTAACGACTTCTTTTAGTTAGGCCGGGGTAACACTGTGTTGAGTAGCGCGTTTGAGTTGTTGCCGGTCTGTGAATTATAACTTATTTATTAAAGCTTTACGACACCCGAGACTGAAATTTAAACCTTTAAATTAAAAAAAAGGTTATAAAGAATGTTTATGAGTAACGTTTGACCACTTTGCTCAAACAACTAAAAAAAGTCATCAACATTTTTTATGAGTAACGTTTTCCCGCTTTGTACAAATAACTAAAAGGAACACCTCATTTTTATAAGTAACGTTTTCCCAGCAACAACTGAGTTACTGCGCCGGTGGACAACTTTTAGTAGCGAAGTGGGTTATTTTAAAATCTGACTAACGTTTTGTTTGTTTTTAGAATATATGTATTGCTTCTAGTTCATTCATGTTGCAATTATTTTTTTTAACAAACAAAATAGTTATTTCTCATCACTATTTCTTCACATTAATATTACCATTGTATATACTTTCCTGACTGTGTTTCAATTCCAAATCAAAATTAATTCCTGGGTTTCAGTCATTTATTGTCTTTATTTATCAATTAAAATTCGTTTCGGTGTATTTTTCCACCATCATCAGTTTTTACGTGTAGCGTTGTAGCTGCTTTAAGCCTTGGCATACATTTTGCATACAAGTGTATGATTTTACTAATGCTTAGCAATTCAAGGCACATCATATTTAGTGAGAGCATATAAGATATCTACCCTTAATGAGTTCATGTTTATAAATAATCATCCACTTATTACTGCCACTGTTGGTTTCCATCATTTCTGCAAGGTAAAGCCCGAACGCTGGAACCCGTTACAGATAAGTGACAGTTTAGTACACCTGTAATTTCAACTAAAACGAATAATATTGACCAGAAAGCGGAAAAATAATGCGATGTAGATGACATACACTATGCATATTTACAAAGGAGTTGTGAACCGCCATAAAAAAAACATCGAACGTGAAAACACAAGTGTTTGCTGATGGTATCGTCGTTCAGTATCTCAGATTAATGTCTTTGTTCAGTACAGCCTGGAATCATATGCGCATTCAAACGAACCAGACAAACACAAATAGCAAACCTTATTCCTTATAATTATGCTTATCCAAGCAAAAAGAGTCTCTAAATCATCAAATATTCTTACCGGTGTTATTATGATCAACTTTCCGATAAACTTTGTTTGATGTTCCGACTCCGCTTCCTGAACTTCGTCTTCGGGCTAATGGCGAAGAGTAGATCAGCTGGCGTAGCGACCAACGACCAGGAAATCGCTTTTTGTTTCTCGGCGCTCCAACACAGGGCGATAATCCCCCAGCTCCTTCACCACTCCCATCTAGGGAACCTCTCATAATGTTAACTACGAGACTTCAATTCTATGAGTTTGGTAGCGATTTATTGTTGACATTGCCTCATAGTTATGGATATCTGAAAAAAATGTTCTGATTACATGTTGTGTTTGTTGGTTGTCATTAGTTTTGACGTCAGATCATGCGATTATCACGTCGTCCTGTTCTGAAATTCGTACATGTAACGTTTTGATTTCCAAGAGTTAGACGGCCTTTTAGTTTTCATGCTTAAAAATGTAACTAATGAAATTGAGAATTTACCATACACAAAAAGTTTGTTAGCTAATATACATCTTTTTAAAATGTCATGAACGCCAAATTTGAGATGGCAGAACTGTCATGCGATGACACTCGCGTTCAGTCCTTTGGATATAAAATTAACAGTTAGTTTTATAATTAAAGATTCAGTCTATAATGCCATTTCATCATAGTGAACTACACGTTCGTAGCGCGCCTGGACATTATACAAAAATTAATTTTAATTAATTAAAATAACCGCTCTTTTATTCAAACTCAACATCAGCTTAAAATTATGGAACGCAAATAGTACTGCTGTAATTACTCTACGCAGAAGGGTTGGAAAATACCAACATTACGTCTTACTGCAAGATGTGAAGGAATTATTGATCCTGGAAGAACCTCTGTTTCGTTCACAGAAGTTACACCTTTCACAGACCACAACTTCGACTTTCCTCTCTTGTATCGTAATATACTATTTTTCGGACGTATCGCGATCCCGAACATTACCCAACTATCAAGTGATGATATCATCAATTCTCATTCAAATTCTATAACGAGATTAAATTTTGTTTCAATAAGCGAGCAAGCAAACATTAATTGCAGAAAATGGCACGAGCAACCAAACAACAAATACAATTCAGTAGAAAATCCAAATAAAATACGTCTTACGCTGTAACTCAATTATTAGACTTTCAACCAATTACCGAAATTTTAGATGGAAAACAAAGACAATGCAATCTGATTCAAGGGTATCGGTTAAACAAAAAATATTTAAATTACCAGAGCAATATTCAATCAAAGTTATTTAAATGTATTGTGCAACAATTAAAGTGATAAACAATTGGGGAAGGCAAGGTTGCATTACGAAAATCATGAAAATGAAAAGAATCGAAGTTTACTGTTGTACAATACAAAACTATGATAGTGGATGAAGCTACGACAACAACTAAGCAAAACTACGACAGCGTCTAATTTAGTATGTCTATATTAATCAACCCGTTTGCACCTAGCGAAATGTTTTTGATATACATACATACAAGTTTGAATGAAAATAATCTAATACTAAATAAGTTAAAATCATTTATTGATACAATGCTTGATGTAAAGCAATATAAGAATATGCATTCTTGCCATCAATATAAACAAACGAATTTATTAAAATACTGAGGTTCTTAAACTCTAATTAAAAAAGTAAATGGAGAACTTAAGAGACTTATAATAAAAATTTAGAATTAACAATACGGCAATACTAACAAAAGATTAATTCATGTGTTTATACTTTGACACTTGCTTAATGCAAGAGACCTAATAGTGAAAATAATCCACAGCAATGAACTTTGCCTGTAAACTGTTAAAGCACGACTTTAATCAATTTACCAGACAGATAGTAATACATGTATGCAACAAGTTGCAATTTAACATCAACATCTCTCATTATACAACAGACAATTTGCCTAAAGTTCAAAAAATTTAGATGTATTTGAAGGCAAAACATTAATTTTAAAAGAAATAACCATTCATAATAAAACGCAATTGCACAATAATGGTGCTAAACGGATTACATGCATATACGATATATAAGCCATGTTCTTTCTTACACAACAACCAGTTACTTTACAGTGAAAGTTATTATTCTGTACGCCGTTTTATTTAAGCACAAAATCGGTCTACTGTAACTTCTGGGGTATATTTGGTTCAAAAAATGCATATACTATACAATAGTCAATCCGTTGAAAGCAGTCAATATAAAAGAGCAAAACAAAGAAGTCGCCCAAATGGTGGAAATGGATATCGACCATTGGCAATTGTCTAAGCTTATGCCTAATCCCATAAAACATTTTGGATTAAACGCGATATATTATTTATCAGAAACATTCCTCGAAAAAAGTTTATCAAAGATAACGAAAAAATATACATATATTTTATGTTGATTATGTTTGAGTGGAGGATGATCAGCTTCTATTACCGCGAGTTAACAGCGGGTAGAACAGTTAGAATATACATACTGAGACTGATGGAACACAGGAAAGAAAGGACAACGAGTGAGAAAAAGGACAATAAACACAACGCCGCGCCACACCAGTTGGTAGCAGAAGCAGCTGAGCTATTTAACGTGACAGAGGATACCATATAACCATATACAACAAAAGAACAAATATAGACTGAAACGGACGTTTCTGGACGAGAAACGATGATAACATAAACT